TTAATTTTTAATTGTTATTAGTACATAATTGCAGTACATAATGATTGCATTCTAGGAAGAAAGACACACAAGTGTTTGGTAACAGTGCAGACAGGATTTTCAGTAGGACTCTATATGAAAGTTTGTAAGATCAGCACTCAAAAGGTTATTGTTTCTTCAGGAGTTGGCCTGCAGTTAGGGTGCTCAGCACTGGAAAAAAACTTTCTGGGTCCCTTGCTATTGAGTAATATTTTTGTCTAAATCATACCTTTATAAAAACATCATTTCATGAGAAAAATTGGGTGTTGCAGAAATGAGAACTTCAAAGGAGTTTCAAGCACTTTATATACAATTAAGAGATACAAAGAAACTGGAAGCACAGAACAAAAACAATTTTTACAAAAGTGTAGGATTTAGTCCTTATAAAGAAAGATCTAAAATGGTGTATTTAAGTAGGAGAAGAGCTGGCAAAGAGAAACTGAAATGAATTGCTAAATGTACAAAGGGACAATAAGTGATCAGTAAGAAGTAGCTTTAAACTGTTGCTTCTAAGGACACAATAAGAGAAATTTAAACTGTGAAAAAAACACGGAAAATTGTTCCATGATCTGCTACCATGCAAAGGACTAGAAATAGAGTTCTATTCATGGCTTGAAAAAATACAAAGGCAAAGAAAGCTATTAGAAATTGAGAAGGTTTATTTCTTCTTAACTTAAGAGTAATAATTACCATTTCTTAAGTAATAACTCTCTAATGGGCCTTCTCCTGGCACCGTTACAAACCATTATGGGTGGTAGACATTGCAATCTCCATTTTCTAATAAGAATGTTCAGGTTCTGAGTGGTGAAGCAGGTTGTCTGATATAGCACTGAGAGATTGCAGTTCTAATATATTGCCTCTTGACTATCTTTGCATGGTTTCCTTTCTTTTCTTTGATTATTCTCCAGTGTAAGTCTTTCCATAAAAGGTTTATATGTTAGAAGCTGAATCCTCCATGTGGCAGTGTTAAGATACACTGTAGCAGCACTTGCCAGAAGGCCAGTGTGGGTACTTCCATTGGAAGGATTAGAGGAATTGTCACAGGACTGTGGTAGTTCTCTTGAGAAGGTTGTTATAAAAGACCCAACCTTATCACTACCCACTTTTGGCTTGTTTTCTAGCTAAGAAATAATCTCTCCATTTTGTGATGAAATGACTGACTTGATGCAATCTGCCACGAGGTGATGCAGTCAGCAAAGCCCTCACCAGAACTGATGCCATGCTATTGAGACTTTCAGCCTCCAAAGATGTGCGCTAAATAAACATCTTTTCTTAACAAATAACCCAGCCTTAGGTATTTTGTCATAGCAACAACAACAAAAACAGAGTTACACAACAGTTAGTAACTCAGGAGTGAAAATGAAATAAGCATATCACATTTTCATATTGTATTATCGAATTCAAGCCATGGCTAACTCTCTAGTAATCTTTTCAACATACAGAGCATTTATTGTATACCTAGCACAGTAGGAGAAATAAAGATGAACCGGAAATAGTTTCTGTCTTAAGTTTGTGCACTGTTAGAGTTAAGACATGAATACAAATAATGCACAACAAAGGTAATGCTACCAAAGAATCACAGGTTACATGCTGAGAGATCAAGAGAAGGTAGGTTTGCTGCTATTTTGCAGGATTAAAAGTATTCCCTGGAGGAGATGATATTTTATACTTACCTTTGAAAGATACACAACATTTAGTAGTACACAAATTAAAAATGGAAGTGGGAAGGCAGACAAAGGTATTCCAGCTTTTATTTATCAAATATCCTGAGGGTGACTTATATTAGAATCTAAGAAGCCTGCATTGAAAGTAGGTCCTGAAGGACTAGCAAGATTTTCACAGGCAAAAATGGAGGGGAAGAATTTTCTAGTAAGAAGCATTGTTGCCTCTCCTAACCTTTACTGTACATGTGCAGTTGTCATGCAGAAGTCATTTTGTCTCCTTTATCTCCTAGTTTCTTATCAAAAAATGGCTACCACTCATTCACCAAATTGTATTACCATATGACTGAAATTAGATGGCTTGACCAGTCAGAGATTAAAATTTAGATGTGAGGGTGATCTGGCTGAGACATCTGTCACCCCACTGATCACCAGGGTTGATTCAGCTGATCTGGCTGGCTAGGTGGGTGTCCCCTTCCTCCCTCAACGATCCATGTGCATCCCTCCCAAAGCTGCATGCTCGATCGAAGAGGATAACCACCTCTGATAGAGGAGGACCATTCCTCAGTCAAGGGTATACAAGTAGCTGCACTCCCCTGCTAGAACCTCCAAACAAGCCCTGAGAGATTAAAATTTATTAGTTTTCTATTAGTTTGCTCAGATTTCAGAATTTCAATAGAATGAGTTTTAGTGTGCAAAAGGTGGCTGTACTCATGGAGTTACATGATCTTTGGAATGTTTTCTCAAAGTGAGTGATAGGTTCCATTTAAATGCAGATTCTTGTCTTCATTGGCAGTACCAGGGGGAGGCATGCGTTCCAGTAGCACCAAGAACTTTAGTGGCACAGTGCCATAGTTAAGAGCTGAAATCTTAGTGTGTCAACTTAGCATAGACAAGGTCCTGAATCTCCGTCTGTCTTAGTTTCCTTATCTATGTCGGGATGCTAAAAATATTTATCTCACAAGGTTGTCATGAAGTTAAATTGGCTCATATATGTAAAAGTGCCCAGAATTAAGAGCTGGTATTTAGCAAGCATAAAACATATCAGCATAGAATATTGAACAGGGATGTAGCATGGTGAAGGCTATTTTTTTTGATGATTCAGAAGGCAGAAATACAGAGATCTTCTAAATATTCTCTGTGAAAAAGTCCTATATTTTTTTTCCTGTAACTCAGTGGTTCCCTACATTGGCTCTACTTTGGAATTATTTTCTTCTTCTGGCCTGGGTAAAAATCTGAGGACAATACCAATAAGTACCCAGGGCTAACAACCAATGTTGCATGTATATTTCAAATGTGTCCAGGTTTCATCACTGACTCTTCACTATATGCAAGACACTGTCGGAAGCCTTTCTTTTGCATTACCTCACTTGAATCCCACAGTTATCTTGAAGGTAGATGTTAATATTATTATCACTTTGAAGACTATTAGGAAGGTTGAGTCAGGTCATCCAGCTAGAAAGAAGCTAACCTTCTTCCTGTTCTCTCCATTTACATTATTGCCTTTCTCCATTCTAGTGTGGACACAACGGCTTGCAAAATCTTTTAGTATGTCAATGGATTGTACCATGCTTTCTGTTCCCATGTTGAGGGTTGAACCATGAGGATCATGCATGTGAAGCAAGAACACTACCACTCAACTATATTCCCAGTTCCTTTGAAAATTTTATTTTGTGACCCAGTCCTATTAAATTGCCCAGGTTGGCCTTGAATTTATAATCCTCACGGCTTAGTGTTCAGAGTAGCTGTGATCACAAGGGTGCATCATATGTCATCTGGCTTCTTATTATGCTCTTGCTCATAAATTTCCATTGATTTCCCAATGCACTAAAAATGAAATCCAGAAGTCCTTCCCATGGTTTTCAAGGCCCTGAACTGGCTAACACCTTACCCATCCCTTCAGCCTCATCTCATGTGCTGCCAATTTTGACCATAATCACCATATTCCAATCACATTGGTTTTCTAATCTTTTATGTGCCCAAGGTCTTTCATTTTTCTTTCTGCCAAAAAATGCTCTTCCATAGATTCTTCCTTTTTTTCTTTTTCTGATTCAGGGTCTTTGTATGTAGCCCAAACTGGCCTCAAAATCATGGCAATACTTCTGCCTCAGCCTCCTGAGTGCTGGGATTGCAGACATGCACCATCATGCTCAGAGATTTTGTATGGATGGTTCCTTTATATCTTTCAGATATGAGCTTAAAGGTCACCTCCTCAGAGGCCTTCTTGACCATACAAACTAAAACAAGTCTCTTATTTTCTATTCCAGTCCTTTATTTCCTTCACAGTACTTATGTTATATATTTATATATTTTTGGACTATTTGTTTATTATTTGCCTTCTCTGGTAAAACATGAGCTCCATATGAACAAAAATGCATCTTTTCTGTTCAGTGTGCAATATATGCTTGTGCAAGTTGTGCACTGTTGCATTTGTGTTTATGTGAGATGTCCTGGTTTGTTTGTCACCTGATGAAGAGTTTGGGAACAGAAGCAAAATTTTCTTGAAAACATTTGTTTGTGGACTGAATTGTTTACAAACAGAAGCATTCATGAACTGAGGCATTACTATAACACAGGCTTCTACCATAGTGTTGAGCAAACATTAGATGTTCAAGCAATGTACTGATTCAGTACAGAAAGAATGTGCTATTAAGATATTGCAAGTAGGAGGGTGCAGAAAGGTTAGGCTACAGAAAATTACTAATAAATTTGGTAATTTGAGAAGGTGCATAAAAGACAAAGGTGTTTAGGTCTGATCTCAGGAACCTAGAGGGAAAAGTTGAGCTAGTATATGTAAAACTAAAATCTAAGGAAGCATGAGTTGAGAATATAATAATTACATTTAAGATATAGTTTGAGAAAATGATGCCTCCCATTTTGTTATTATTCAGTTTGCATCATTTTCTTTTGATTTTTGGACCTGCCTAAATTTACCTAGTTCATCCTTCAAAATAGTCACATTAACGCTATGAAAGGCCTATTCTTCCTTTACAGATCATGCATATAAAGGAATGGTTTTTGTCTTATGATTCAATAATTTAGGGACCAAGCTAGAAAAGATTAATTAAGGACAGGTAATCACTTTCATACTGAACAACTCCCACTGACGCTCTGTGCCACACTCCAGTTCTTTCTATTAGGTTGATGTCCTTAGAAATCAGTGTTTGTATATTTCCCTTTTGTGAATGAAAGCACTACTTAAAGCCAAGGCTATCCTGGAAAATTGATTTTCTTTAAGAGACTGGACAGATATTTTCCTCTTTTCTAAGTTCTGCTACTCAGAATGGCATGATCCAGAGTCTTGGGATGTGGAAAACCTACCTCTGCATACCCGGCAGCAGGAATCTGGAACAGAGACTGGGAATGCACAGGTTAATTTGGGGCAAGTCTTGAGACCACAATACACATTCCCTTCCTGCCAAAGAGAAACAGAATTGAGATCAAAATGATCTAAGATAAGTCTCAGTTTCAGCTCAATATCTAAGATAAAGAAGGGGCTGGGCATATGACACTGCTCTTGCATAGCTTGTTATGGATACTTCCTTATTATGCATTATTTTCCTAACTACTATTTCTTACTTTGGAGATTAAGTCTCATAGTTATCAAGACTCATTAAGCATCCTGGTCCAAGGTGGTAGAAAATAATCTGTGAGGGTTTCCATGGGCCTTCAAACCACCAAATAATGTTGCTCCTCTCTTCTCTGTTTACTATGTCCCTTGTTCCTCAACACACCCCAGCTGAATGTTGGAAGTATTAGGAAGTTAGGATGCTTGTGCTATTCTTTGTGGCACTCACTAGTTTCTTATCTTCCAGATAATACAAAATTATATAGTAGTTTGAATCCAGTAGCTCCAGCCAGCACAAGTCAAGGCAGATAATCCAATTTGTTGGTTATAGCTGTCTTTGCAATAATCTCAACTGCTAAAATTCTCTTTTACATGTTATTCTTTAAGCCTTCCTCTTAGTTCTTAGAAGTATGTCCTTCTAGGGTTAGAAGGTTTCCTGAAAAGTCACCAGGAAAGCAACTCAACAATTTTTTTTCCTAAATCACTGAAATACCAAGAGAAATACAAATTAATGAGACAGATTTTACCAAATTTCCCAGGGGAAGAAATTCTACAGCTGTTCTTGGCAACATTTGTTTAATGTTCCTTGCAGCAGAAAAGTTGCTTCAGGATCTAACTTTATTCCTCTGGGTTTCAATTTATATATGCACATTGCTCCATTTTAAAAAATTCTTTCTGTTATACTCTCTGGACTGCACAATTAGGTAATGACAAAATTGATATGCTTTATTTCTGAAGTACACAAAGATCTTTTGACAAGCACAGGAATCACTATGACCAAACATCAAATTTTCTCATTTCAAGACACCAGGAATTAAATTGTTAGAAGAATGCTTTGGTGATAGCAACCAAGAGACACTCTATTTTCTTGTGTACTGAATGTAGTAGCCTAGAATTTTACACCATAGTATTTCCAAGGTTTCAAATAATCATAAATAAATAATACTTAATATGAATGCTTAGGTAGTATAATTATGATTAAAATGAATGCAAGTCATATGAACAACTTACCTTTGCTCATTTAAGAAGGTTTAGTCCCAGATTTAAGTTAGGTGTGCAACTGGGTCTGAGCTCTTCAACAGAATTGGTCAGGGTTGAAGAAAATCAGGAAGTTTTGATTGACAGGGATACTTAGGGATTAAGTATGATTCATATTTCATTCAAACATCTTATTGTGTAAACTCAAGGAAAAACACAGGTACAGAAGGAGTTCTCTTAGTTGGGAAGGGACAAGTAGGAACATTGACATACAAGGTCTTACCGAGCAGCTGCACTGGGTACACTGATTGGGTTGCCGGTTCTGAAAGAGCCCTTCAGCCATGAATAGCTCACCATGTTGGTAAGTGGTCCCATTGTACTCACAGGACTTGCTTGTCACTTTATTGTTCACTGTGGATAAGGAGTCTTCTGGAACAGGATGGAGGGAAAAATACACACACAGTACTCACACCATTGCAGAGAATTTCATAAATCCCAACAGCAGATGGGGCTCTACTACATAGAGGGACTTAAAAGCCATTTTTTTCTCTAATGGCTAAAAAATGGAGGAAACTCCAAAACAGCCAGACAAAAACAGTAGTGGATTTCACCATCCATCCATTATTTCATTTATTGAACATTTCTTGGACACCTACTATGTGCCAGATGCTCTAATAAGCTTTAGTGAGAGATCAAAGAACAGGGACAAGGCGTGTGCCTTGAAGAAGCTAATAATCCTAGATTAACAAGGTATTAACTTGCTTAAAGGAAGCAGTCCATGCTATTTCTCTTTCTTTCTGAGCCTCCTTTGGGTAGAGGAACTGCCTATGATAACTATTCTAGGCACTTTATGTCATCTAACGTTTTCTATAGTTTGTCATATGCGTCTATGCTTTTTTCAATCTCTGTAGGTTTAATTTGGTGTGGTTTGATCTTGAGACACGGGTTATGTTATGGTTTGTGTGTATTTGCCCTCCCCCAAAGCCTCATGCAATCATTGAGGCACAGTTCCACAGTGTGTGATTAACTCATGATCCAAGGCTGGGATTATAGGTCTGAGTACTGCTGGGATTATGGGTGTGAGTGTTGCACTCAGTCTGATGCACATAGTCTCAATGTAACATGAGACAGACAGACTTGCTCTCTGTAGTCATTGCTGCTGCTACTTCTCCATTTAGCTCTTGTTCTTTGTTGCTGCCATGGAAGGTTGCTCTCTGCAATGTGCAACTCTGCCTTGGAGCCAGCTGAATATGGACTGAAAACTCCAGTAACAATGAGCTAAATGAACCTTTGCTTCCCTCATCTTAGGTGTTAGGTATTTGTCCCAGCAGTGAGAGAAGAGGAACTAAGAAAGGTTATTATGCTGCCCAAGTTGGCCTCAAAGTTAAGGGTTACAGATGAGAAGTAACACATCTACATCTCTGAAGTTTGCCTTTTGGATCATCCCTGCATGATTGCTCCTTTGTCTACTTCTTTTATCTATTCAAGTCCTATATGATGAAGGTTTAGCACACTACAAAGTTTTTCCTAATAATTTAGCCATCAGATGTCTAAAGCATACAGTTCAATTATAATTGGAGTTAATATGATTCAAATTCATATTTAATTGAATTCATATTTTTGAGTTACAGTAACCTATCAAGTCATTTCCACATAACCTTCGTGTATGATATTACAATGGAATCTCATAACAATGTCATGAGTCAAATGGTAGATTCTTACCTTGATTTATCATTTGAGGGAAACAAGTCATTCAGATTGAATTATTTATACTAACTCACAAACTTAGTGGATGATGAAAAAGAGAATTAAATATGGTCTCCTCAGTCTAAATTTCAACTGCTAACTTTTATATGCAGGTGTATATATTACTTTTTGAGAGCTAGGAATCTTACACATCTCTTTACTCCCTGGAATATAGTATAGGGTCATTATATTGCAAAAAGACAAGGCACTTAGTGAGTTGAATCTGACTGAGTGAACTCTAAAAATATTTTCACTGAATTTCCTTAATTACTGCTACATGGGTATCCATGAGCACATACATATGTACACCAAAAAAGCAAACATTTTCCAAGATAAAACTAAAAATTGATGCATAGATTAGCAACAGATACAAGCAGAACTTAGAAAACGCCTGCTCCAGTCTTTTTTTAAAAAAAATTTTTTCAAGTCAAATTGGTAGGACAGTTTCAATAATTAACACATTGCATGCATTCTTCCTAGTGGTTAATTGCTGTACATGATGCGGACATGACATTGTATTTACAAACACCATTAGAACAAATCCCTCTATTCATTAAGAGAATGTAACTATATATCTATCCTAACCACATTGAATACACAGATACAAAATGGACATTCATCTGTATCCCCCCTTTTTTTTGTTAAGTTCCGTTATTTGAATATTGTAGGTGTGTAAACTCAGCAAAATATTCTAAAAGAGTCCAGTAGCCCATACTAGTATTGGGTCTTTCGCTTGACTGGCAATGTCAGAAATTGTTGACCTGACTCCCATACAGTTCAATATAACAGCATAGATTTACTTCTTATATTTCTTTTATATACTTTTCTACTGGATGGTTAAGACCAAGGTAGAGCAGCACCTATGCAGCAAGAGTTGCAGCATTTAGATCTGATAAGGTCAGTGAAATGCCCTTAGGATTTATCCTGAGATCCTGTACCTCAGATTGTAGAACATTTGTCAGTGTCAGCCATGTGAATGAGGTACAGCCATTGCTTGGCCAATGTGCTCTCTGTGAAAGACTGAGAGAATGTCCTCTCTCCATGTGACTCTTCCTAGGAACACTCTATATCATCGATCACTTTCCTCTGTGGCCCCATAATCTGCTTGATCAGAAAATTTGGGACACTACCGAGTTACATGACGTTACAGTACAAGTTCTCATATGTTCTGACTCTTAATTGACCTTGGAAGGCTAGGGCCAAAATGTTGGCTTTCCTTGCAGCCCTCCTTTTTCTCTAATTTTGGTCAGCAAACTTAGGCTGTTAACCATCCAGAAGACAAGCTTATTGTTATTACTATACAACTTAAGCTGTTAAGCTTAATTTCATTATCTGTCTGAAAATTAAACATCTTAGGCATAACATGGAATAGGTATTTTTCATCAAGTATTGATATGTAGAACTTTAAGTCTCTACAGAATATGATTAAGAAAACATTTAAAAATTAGAATATATTTTAAAAAATAGGCATAAAGAATTATATTCTACATATGTTAACACGTAAGTCCAAAAATCTAACCATACACAACCTTGAAGCAGGACAGTCCCACAATATTCCTTTTCCTGTCTCTTGAATTCATTCACCACCCCCTTACTTTTGAACAATATCTACCTGAGAGACAGGACAGCAGCAACTGGCATCTCATGACAAGCACCCCTTATTCAGAAGACCAGAATGACAGGGACTCCAAGCATGAAACTACTATTACGGATTACCATGTTCATTTCAGTTGCTTAGTTCACAGGTATCAGTATATATAGATAGTCAGGGTGAGAATCTTTCCAATTAACTGCTAGATTCAAAAATCTTCTGAAGATTCTCAGGATTATTGCCTTGCCCATTTTCCACATATAACTGTATGGCTTGACATTGTCATGTTTCCTAGCTCTTTTCCTTTCAGTCTCTTGATTAGTTAGTCCTCAAGATCCTGCTTTCCTTTTACTTGTATTATACCTTTCTATTTGTATTTCTTCTTTTGAGATCTTATACTAGGCAAACTGTATGATATTTACACGTGTGTCTGGTATATTTCACTTAAGAGTATATCTTCAAGTGGAATCCATTTCAATATAAAGGCTTCAAGTTTATCATTGTCAATACCTGAATAATTCTCAATTGTGAAAAAATACAACCTCTTTTTCAACCACTTCTCAGGTGATGGGCATCTTGGTTTCTTCCAAGATTGGTTATCACAATTTGTGCTGCCATAAACATAGGCACACATATATCACTATGATATGATGTTTTCAGATCATCCGGGAAGATTCCCAGTAGAGAAATAGCTGGTATAAATGGGATTTCCAGTCCTAGATTTCTTTTTTTTTTCTTTCAAAGTTTTATTGATAAACAGATAGCAATGAGACAGTTTCAAATCCAATCGGAAGTACAGTTTCAACAAATAATACACTGCGTATATTCTTCTTAGTGGTTAATTGCTGTACAAGAAGTGGACTTGTGATCCTACTTACAAACACCATTAGAACAAATCATTCTATTCATTAAGAGAATGCAACTATATATCTATCCTAACCACTTTG